CTTAGAAATGTCGTCCCCCAAAACCTCGAAACAACAATCTTTTCAAGGAAAATTGACATACCTAAGACGTTTTATATCTAATATGTCAGGACGGTTCCCGTCATTTTTTACGTTGATAAAAAAGGGCGCCAAGTTTACTTGGGATGAGACATGTCAATGGACATTTGAAAGTATTAAACAATATTTAATGACATCTCCTATGTTAGCAAACCCTATCTCAGGTAAACTGTTGATACTTTATACCACAGCCTTAGACGACTCACTCGGATACTTGTTAGCCCAAGTCAATGATGAGGGTAAGGAAAACACACTATATTACTTGAGTCGTCATCTAAGACCGGCGAATGTGAAGTATCATTCTGTTAAGAAATATTGTCTAGCTTTGATTTTTTGCCGCTCAAAAGTTTAGACATTACATGTTTTTTCATAAGATCAACCTGATCTCGAAGTTTAATCCGTTGCAGTATTTAATGACCCACCCGATGCTTTCCGACAGGTTAGCAATGTAATAGATGATTTTATTGCAATTCTATATAACATTTGTACCCCTTCGCACTATCAAAGGGTATATTCTAACAGACTTCCTTGCAGCCCACCCACTACCAGCTGGGTCCCCCCTCAATGTCGACTTTCCCGATAAAAAAGTAATGCATGTGGAACAACCTAATGCTCAATGTTGGAAAATGTAGTTCGATGGGGCTTCATCAGCCAGAAAAGATAAATGATTGCAAATGGTGATGCCCGATAAGGCAGGAATTGGTCTAATCTTCGTTACATCGGATCAAGGGAGGTTGATGTTCTCTTACCACCTCACACAGTCGTGTACCAACTACGAAGTAGAATATGAAGCTTTGATGTCAGGATTGGAATTGGCGATATTAATGTACATAACAGGCATCACCATTTATGGCGACTCACAACTCGTCATTCAACAAGTGATGGGGAAATACAAGATCTTAAAGTGAAGATTAGAAGAGTATCACTGACACACGATGAAATTTTTGGAATAGATTCCCGACATAACATTATATAGAATCCCTTGAGGAGATAATGCCCATACATATGCTTTAGCCAAACTCACGAAAGAATTGACATGTCCATAGGAAGACTCTATTGACATCACAGTTCAATAACGACAGGTTTGATCATGGATTGACATGGATAATTTACATAAGCCGAGAAAAGAGAAAACACTAATGACAATGACCGAGGATACTGAGGATTGGTGCTAGTCGTTTGTTGAGTACTTACAAATATGAGTGTTACCGGGGGATAGGTCAATGAGACAGCAAGTCAAGAAGAGGGTCATGTCATATGCCTTAATCGACAACTTTTTGTATAGAAGATCCTTTGGTCAGATGTGGTTATGATGTTTGAGCTGAACAGAAGCACAAAATATCGTCTAAGAAGTGCGTGCAAGATTGTGTGGTGCTCATCCGTCGGGGTCAAATATGAAGATGAAAATCAAGAGATTTAGATATTATTGGCCAACAATGATGTCAGATTGCATGGAAACAGCTAAGAGATGTCACCAGTGTCAGGTACATGGAGTGGTCTTGCACCAACCTCCGAACGTGCTACATCCAACGATCGTGTCATGATCATTCGAGTGTTGGGGTACACATATAGTGGGTTCTATAGAGCCTCCATCTTGTAAATGAAACAAATTCATTATCACAGCTACAAATTACTTCTCAAAGTGAGCAGAGACAACGTCGTTACAGGAAGTTACAGTACAACATGTTCTTCAGAAATCAGATTGTCTACTGTTTCGGTGTTCTACACAGGATCATTTCAGACAACGGGTCCTCCTGCAATAGCAAGAAGATCAACAGTTTTGTTAGACAACACGAAATAGATTGGAGATACTCCACGATTTATTATAAAAAAACATACGACTTAGCAGAAGCCTTTAACAAAATAATAGTGCAAATTTTAAAGAAAACATTAGATGATAATAAAAGAGGATGACACGAGAAACTGTTAGTCTGTTGTACATTGGCCTCAAGTAATTGATAATGATCATCTGTTCAGAGGTCGATCGAGTAGGCTACTGATTATTAAGAACCAACTGATTGAGAGTTAGATGGCTAAAGATGATATGAATGATCCGGTATATAAGTGTCATTTCACAATAATTCTAGCCCTCTACAAAAAAAAAATAAAAAAAAATAAAAATAAAGTTGTTTTTGAAACCGTGGACAAATATGACTCTTTAAAGCTCTCTCTACTTCATAATCTCATTTTACACTCTAATCCCTGGGTGTGATTCATGAACAAGTCTAATTTCAATAGAGTTATAAACGAGTTAAGTTGATTAGTGAGCTAGCTCAAATTCCATTAGATAAATGGCTCAGGAATTGAGATCAACTAACTAACTAGCCAAATTTAAGCCAACTCCAATCCCAATCTTTAGCTCATGAGTCAAATCATTTTAAAATATTAATATAATTTAAAATAAAAGAAATTAAATACAAAATTCATAAAAATAAAACTAAAATCACTTTCTCCCCGTCTTCTACCATATAAATCGATCAATCAAAACACAACCATGGTGGCTCTCCTGCGCTCCTTTTCATCCCACGCTGCTCTCAGCTGCACCAAAGAATTTCACCGGTCCTACTGATTTTTTCGTTGTTCGCCTGTAATGGCCGCTGCCACCGCTGTTAGACCTATTCTCCGGTCTGCTGCCATTCGCAATGCGACGGCGAGGTTCGCCTCAAAGACCTCCGGTGCTCGCTTTCCGTGTCTGATTCCCAAGCTTGGCTCCACCTCTCCTCGGTTTCTAAGGTACAATCCTCACTTCTTTCATTCTTTTCTGACTTGAAATATCTTTTTTGAATTGAGATTTTATCTTTTGGCTTTAGGTCTTCGGTGGTAAGTTGTCTCTGTTTGGAGTCGGTTCTCCCAATGCACAGCGCGACATCATCAGCACTTATGACCTCTCTGCTGTCTATTTCCACCCATGACATTGGGTTCCTCTCGAAAGGTATTATAAATCCACTCCGTCTGAATCCGCCATGCTTCACTCGAATATGCTGTTATCTTTTTATTTTGTGAAGTTAGGTCCCGGGTTTGTGTAATTGTGTGGTTGGGGGAGGGGTGAGATGTGTAAAATGATTAAGTAATATAAGGGAGGCTAGCGAAATATTATTTCTTTTTTAAACGAAATATTAAACAATGAACATGAGCATATTTCTTTCCTATTGTTCAAAGACAAAAATAAACTGCTGGAGGGGAAAACTTAGTAGCTAATGGTCCCAAGCATTGCAATTGCGAGTGTCACAGCTGAATTCAAATTATGATGAAATTGGATAATGGAAAAGCATACCTGTCTATAGACTTGTTGGATATTTGGTACATTGAAAGGTTAGTAATTTCAGAAGAAAAATCTTATAAATTGGTTCCAAGCTCCAAAATGAGTCGGAAAATGCCACATTAAATATTTAATTGATGGATTCCAGTTAATTGGAGTGATTATCTGTGTTGTTTCTATGCATTTAAATTTTAATCCTTCCATCTTTGGCAACGCGGCAACTTGATAGGTGCACAGGCAGGTGCTGAGGCCGAGAAATATTTGGAATAAATTTCACTGAGGTTTTTGAAAATTTTCAGACCAGCCAACATGATTGTAATCTTATTGGAAGGGGAATAGCTAGTGCAACGGACTCTTAAGTATTTTTCCTGTGTTCTTCATAACATTTTCAGTTTGTTGCTTTATGCTATTATATATAAAATTTTCATTCTCAGGGACAAGGCCTCAAACACCATAGATGATAAGAAAATTTTTCGCTTTAATAGCCCGGGAATATGGTCCCGAAGGATTTGAATAAGTGGCTTTGTGGGATGGGGTGTTGTTGGAGACCACATTATACAACATTGAAGGAGGGCTCTGCATCCAAGATAGGATATAAGGTTACTTCAACATTTTGTGTTCAA